AAAAATATGGTATTGGGCTAAGCCATGTCTTAAATATATTACCAATTTTAAAAAACCAATATTGTTTTATTTTTGTATGATCGGACTATATAATTTATTTTTAGATTTTTCACATTGTCACAATAAGATGATTATTTCTACATAAATATTTGTCAGTTTATTGATTTTTACTTTTTTAAATAATAAAAATTACTTACGATCAAGTTGATTCAAGATGTGCAATATATTAATTTGGAAATTCTAGATTTCTATATTCAAATTTAAAACAAAAATATATGTTTTTAAAATGCGACCGTAATAGCAGCCTTGTGCCTCCAGTTTAAGAAAATAAAGCCTTTGCCTAGGGCAGCCATTTTTATAGAAAAATTAATAGGCAATCTTTTTGTAAGTTATTGTTTTAATTAAGGAATTTTAATTATTTTAATTTAAATAATAAAAACTGTTTACATACATGGATTTATATTAGCTGAATATGAGCTTAGACAAAATTTTGTGGTTACCTGATAACATTTTAATAGTTTTTGTAGTTAAAACAACCATATAAAATTTTCAAACTTTGTAATGAACCAAATTTATCTTAATTTCATGATTTTGTTGCTAAAAAGTAGAAAATAATTTGAATATTTAGTTTAGTTTTTAATTACTTTTGCTATGTTATTATAGTATTTAATATATAAAAAATTTAAAATTTGAGGCATTTTATTTTCACCCGCTTCTGTTCGTTATAAGTTCTGGCACGACTCTTCATAATAGTATAGTATAATTGTATTGACTAACAAAATATATTCCAAAAATTATTAGGAATCTTTATAAATATATTGTTGTAATCATATATTGTGGAGATATCAACATTCCGAGACATTGTCCATGTTTGGCTCTGATCCAACCTCAACCGGCTCATTCCGCTGAGGATGAGAAAAATGATAGGCAACGGCACGACAAACTCTGTTAGGAGAAAAGTGTCCCCAAAAAAACGGACCACCGAGGAGAAGGCTCTTGACTTGCTGGAGATCTTTGGGTTTCAGAGCTAGAAGGCCAGACACTGCAAAACATAAACCAGATACGAAGTTAGAATTCACAAACCAAAAATATACGATATAAATACCGTTTTCTCCCTATTCATTCCTGAACATGGGGATGCAGCTCTCCTCTACCAAGGCACTATAGATTCGAACGTAAAAGAAAAACACTTTCCAATCGTGACCATTCCAGGAAAATTTCTCAATGATCGACATATCCACCCGCGGAGATAGGTAATAAAAACCCTCGCTCTTACGCTTGGGCGACTTCAAGCCTCGAGGTAATCTGCGCTAAGAGTCATACCGCGCTCGTAACTTAGCAATCCGGATAAGATGCTGCAGCCCGGAGATGTAGAGTTGACTGATTGACAAACCGAACCGATCCAAGATTTCGACAATGACCCGCGGGATGGGAAACTACAATTGGCAATGAAGCAAGAAAGATTTCTAGCACGTAAAGTAACCCGTAGGTGGATGCTTGGAAATTTGACCACGTTCGGGAAGGCAAAACTGCACCGAGTCTGGAATCATGCGGAAGCCTCACATAGCCTTGAGGGAACGAAGGGTACGAATGCTCGGACCTTTCTTGTTCGTCTTTAACCCATTCCTTGAAGGAACCCAGAAGTTAGGCGGGGGGATTCCAGCAGCATGTACGTCCTGCCAATACCTCTTGGTCTCCTCGCCATCGGCGATAAATCTTTAAAATACCAGTTCGGGAAGTTCACTATCACTGGAAGGATCAGGATCACTCGGATCAAAGATAGACGGCTGGGAACAATCCGAATATTTCCGTTCATTGGACATGATTAACGAATAAGTATGGAAAGATTCAAAGAGAGAGAGAAAGAGAGAGAAACTTCTCTACCTTACGAAAAATGTGTAGAAAGAAATAAGTAAATAATTTGAAAACTTACTCCACATATTTATAAGCAAGATTTTACTTTTCATCTTTAAACTTTTGGTCGTTAAAGTTCTGTCTAATTCAACCAAACTTGCCTAACAAGTTCAAACCGCTCGCAAGAACTCTATGATTCTTACGAGCTGGGGGGATAACTGTTGGGGTTAGAATCAGTTACGACGGAATCAATGACCAAAAATCTTTGGTAAAGTTCAAAATAGAATTATAAACATACGAAAAAGCATCAAGGCTCTAAAGATTTTCCAATCAAAGGAACTCCGCAAACTTAACAATCGTCATCATGGAAATCACCGGCAAATAAAATAAAACAATCCACGATTGTCCGACTAGCCGATTTAGCAAGATCAGCTGTAATGTCCAACTCACCAAAACGGCAAGGCTGTCTGAGACCAACCAGATCGCCAAGCCGGCGAGCTGAACCGTCCCGTCCAGCTCGCCAGCCGACGAGCTGGTCGTCCTGAACCAGCTCACCGGCTTGGCAAGCTGAACCGTCCCGTCCAGCTCGCCAAGCCAGCGAGCTGGTCGTCCCAAACCAGCTCGCCGTCTTGGCGAGCTGGACCACACCGTCCAGGTTGCCGGACCGGCAAGCTGACCACCCCGAACCTCAGCATCCGTATTGCCTGGACACAGCCTGGACACAAGGCATATGTCCCTCGACTCGATCGTACCCTGAACCGTGATCGGAACATCTCTCATTTTGTCTTGACCCGTCTTATCGTTGGAGTTCTACGATAAAAACCGCTAAAGTCTTGTTTTCGCGTAAAAGCTCGAGTAAATTATATAAGCGACACCGGTTAAACAAAACTCCAGAAATTACCAAACTATAAGATTGACTTGAGATGTTTTATGAAAACATCATCGTATCATGAAACGATCCCATTTATAAACGTAAAATTGTTAAGGCTCAAAACGGCCTGAAAGGTCCTAAAACGCGATAAATGCCCACTTGCGACTTTAGACACTGCCTTATCAACCCACACACTTGGTGATGCAGCAACTTCCACTCTTCATCCGTTTTCTTTTCTGGTTTATTCTCCTCGAAGATTGGAACATGGAATACCTTTACAAAAAGAAAATCCTCCATCTAGCCTTTCCATAGATGATAATAAGCACCATTCAAGCTTATCATCCTGCCCATATTTTCCACCATTGACACAAGCAAACAATATCTTCAAAGTTATAAAACCCAAAGCTCTAAAAAAAATCAGAAGCTCTGATACCACTTTGTTGGGGAATAAAATCCACGGCGCAGTGTGTATTCGTGTTCGCCTGACCTTTTATGATAATATATGAGGAAAATACTTCGACAATAGCAAGATATATTGTAAGAGATAACTAAATGAGACAAACAAATTTTCCGTTGGAAACCTCCTCGATGTGAAATAAAAAATCAACGGGGCCGTATTTCATTCAACAATCCACTATATAAATGTGTATGAGTACAACCACTTCCTCAATGTTCAACACCCTGAACAGAATAGAGACTCTAGCTACAAAGAGCTATCTCCAACACAAGAACAACAACAACAAGAGAGTAACACCAAAGCTTCAAAACCAGCAAAAACAAGACGACCTCAGCTCACTAAGGCTCCGGCACCAGAGACTAACCCCACTGTAAAAATCCAAGATGAAAAAGTCAACAACACCTTGGCCAAATTTCATCTCAATTAGAGAAGATCTGACCGTCATATTTACCAACTTAGGAAAGCATGGCTGAAGCACTGTGACGTCCAGTTTCACTAAAACCCAGGCAACACAAGATCCCTTTGGTGAACCTTTAACCCACTGATTGACGAAGCTTCCCACAAAATATCAGCTCAAACAGGATCCATTTGATCCTCCAAAACCTGCCTTGACCAACTCAGACGAATTCTGCTTCCATTTGGCTTTTAAGTCCTTATGAGTCTCGATACAAAAATTAGGTAAAGAGACTATATATAGTGTTTCACTAATCCTAAGGTCCATTATTAATCTCATGGACTAATATCAATGGCCCAACCTCCAAATTTGGTTATTACCAACCAAATCCAATAGGTTTCCTCCATCTAGAAGGAACCCAACAGTTGCGAACTCCAAGACATAAATCTTCTATGCAAGAATTGTTACTAAGCTTCTTCAGAGTTAAATAATTTGTCAACTACATGGCTAATACAAGAGTTCTTTTTCTGATCTGAAGTCCGGCAAATGCTCCTCCGTCGTTGAGGCTAGGCTTCTCCGGTTTTGGGAGGCTAGGAATGTTAAGCGTGGTGGTGAAGTCATGTGGGTTGATATGCTAATGGTGGATGTGAATGTAAGTTCATTTCCATATCTTATTGATCTTTTCCCTGTTTATTAATACTGATAAATCTCCAATCATTTTCATTCGACCATAATGCAAGCCACCATCAATGCTAAACGGCTTCCAGAAATCCGATCTAGACTTGCTGCCGGTTCAATGTATTCCATCTCTGCATTTGATGTGGCTCGTTGTGCTCAGAAATTCAGGCTTACCGACTCTTCCTTGCAGATCCATTTCAATGATTCCACCGACCTTGACAAGTTAGCTGAACCGGTTTCCCCATTGCATGCAGAAGACTTCCAGTTCTGAAACCAAACCGAGCTGGTTGAACTTGCTAATACAAACACTCAGTTACCAGGTAAAATAATCTAATTAGAATAGTATTCTTACATATACGGGCATGTTTATAATAGATTTGTCTCGGTTTCTCTATATAATATACTAATATATCAATCTTAATCTCCTCATAGACATCATGGCTGAGATCATTGGGGTGAAGAGCACTGTGAGTGATCCTCCAGAAGGAAACAATTGTGTCATGGCTACTATCAAACTGGAAAGGTGATTCTTACTCTAATTTTACTACTCCAGTGTTACCATATATTACTTTCTTTAGTAATGATGAAATCATATTTGCTATATTCTTGCACTGATGAAACTGTAACGCTGAGTTTATTTGACTCGCAAGCTTGTCTCATTCCACAAAAAACTTGAATTATTCTGTGGTGATCCCAAGGTTATTGTTACTACAAACATAAACCCAAATCTGTTGTTGTTGCTTCAGTTCTTAAAAACTATTAGATGTTGTTGCAACCATGTTCTTATAGCCTCTGTGCACTGTGTAGGTAGTTTGTTCTTAAACGCAACATCAGGAACGCATGTGTATTTTGATAAGGAGACGACTCCTGGGGAAGTTAATTTCAACCAGTAAGTTTATCGTTTATTATATGTGTACGTGTGTATTGACATATTTATTTTCTTTACCCTTTAAATTAGTGTATAGGTTGGTCGCAAGGGACACTGGTATTCCATCTGCTGCACCATTGCTAAGAGGATATCCAAAGGCTGAGCCTCTGACCATCTGTGAGCTCAATAGTTTCACAATCACTGCTCCAACACAGGTCAAATATCTAGCGGTGTCTTTCTAGCTGTTTGGTAGATGTGATTCTATGTATAAATTTGGTTTAAAAATGTAGGAATTGACTTCTTATGCACTGGAGAGTTACTCGCGTTAACGGAGATAAAGGGGTTGTGTTATGTTGCTGGCACTAGATGCAGTAGAAAGTTTCAGTACACTGACTCTGCTTGTACATGTGCTCGATGTGCTAATACACATGTTATTGGTGCTCTTCGCTAACTAGCGTATTCGCTATAACCTTTATATTCCTCCGAATGAATACAGCTGCATCTAACTGATTTGTTCTTTGCTTTGCTGTTTGACTTTAGCTACTATGTTGACATAGCTATTACTGACGATACTGTTGAGGGAACATTTGTTTGGTTTGATGGTGTAATGACTAAACTACATGGCCTCCGAGCAAGTGCGGCTGGCCAGATGCTGGTAAGATAGATTCTGACTACTTGTGTGATTGTGACCTATGCATTAGTAACTCACTTTGAAAGTATTCCTGCAAAATAGGCTGAACAAGGCGTGAACCCTGAGGAATCTGGTTTGCCTCCATTCATTGCAGAAATAGAAGGGGAGACCTACACTTTCCAAGTCAGGGTCACTGCATACAATTTCTCAGAAAACCATAAGACATTAACCATAACACGCATCGTTGATGATATTGATTTTGAGCCATTGCCTGACGTGGACGAAGATGTATGTATAATGTGTCTTATGATATTCAAATCTAGATAGAGATGGGCGTATAACAGACTTAACAGACTTAATGAGTCTTATGACGTTTCAAAATCTAATTGATTATTTATTTGAGTATAGTTGTAAGTACTTTATATTATTACACATACGTTGATGTTAATTTACCCATATGATTCTTCATTCATGTGATGCAACGTCTGTATGCCTTACCAACTAAACCAGCAGAATATGAGTCGCATAATTATACATCAGATCATAATTTGGCATCTACATACATGTTCTTCTAATTTCCATGTTACATCATAATATACAAAAAATACATGTTTTCTAAGAAAAAATAAATAGGTAGACCTCGCACATTCCCTGGTTACTAAAGCTATTACCATGGATGTGATACATATCAGGAATCACTATTGTGTTAATAATCAGACCATGTAGATCTAGAGATTTCATTACAAAACCTTTAAGATCATTGAGAACCTCACTGTGTGATGGTGAAAAAAACACCTAGAAGAGTTCCAAGGACCAGAGTAAAAGGAAGGATGATACTATGTGAGCGCACATACCCACACCAACCGTTCGGGATCCCACGAGATTATCGAGATCGGGTTCGTATAAGTTCTTCTTACTATTAACATAACGATTGGCTATGCATTCATCATGTTAACAACGTTACTGTTCATATGTATTCCACCAGGTGACCATCTAGTCAATGAATCGCGGCTATCTCGACACGACCAAAGGCTCACTCGCTCTTCAAAATCAACACAATCATCCTCTGTAAGTTAGTGATTATCATGTTGCATTTAGAATTGGTTTCATCGGCGGAAATCTATTATTAATAACTAAAATGTTCTTTTCCTTAGTGAACAAGGAATACATAAAGAAATGCAAAGTGGGAAGACCAATCATTCTTGCAGGTACAGAAATATTGAGTGGTATAAAAACACATCCTTTCAAATATATCTATACATAAAAATCAACTAACTCACTTTATAGCTTAATTAGCGTCTCTTGCAATGGCCTCTGTTTCAGACGGCAGTCGTTATCAAGATCATAACAGTCATGGCAAGGATCAAGGTATATTCCAAATTTTAACATATTATTCATAACTTCCTTCTAATTAACCAGATAATACAAATAGTTTGCAAAAATCTCTCCGTCTCGGTAGTTTCTTCTGATTCAGACTAATAAACCGAAATCTCTCCGTTTCGGTAGCTACATATGAATCAACAATATACTGATTCAATAATCGTACACCTTTAATTAGTGTCATCCCTTCTGTAGGTCTTTTTTGTAGCTGATAATCATTGAACTCTATCATTTTCATGTACTCTCTTCTCACGGTTGATTCTTCAAAGCCCTCGTATGTCAACATCTCGTGATAATCTGCTTCCCCAAAAGGAAACAACAGAGGATACTGCAAACTCATCACTAAGGTGTGTAGATCGCTGATTCTCTGTAATGCTGATGATTTAAGGAAGCCAACAATATATTTTCCGGCGGTTGTTGCGGTTATATCACCAACTATTAGCCCACCAATCTAACTCGCGGTACGGAGGTCATATTGACGACAACGATTTGGCTGGCTGATCAAAGTAATTTTGAATTCATTTGCCCAGATTGTTTGAATTATGTCTCTTGCATGTCTAAAAGTTCTGGCTAGGTGTTTATTATGGTCTCTTGCATGTCTAAATGTTCTAGCTAGGTGTGTATTGCATCAGTATATTGTCGATGCATACGTAGCTACCTAGATGGAGAGATTGCGGTTTATTAGTCTTAATCAGAGGAAACTACGAGCCAATCTATATAACAATGTATTGATGCGGTGGAGAGTGGTGATGCTGATGCTACACAGATTGGTATTATGCCATCATCGTTCACTGCTGGACCAAGGTTTATGACTGACAAATATCAGGACGCTATGGCTATATGCCGTTGGTATGGAAACTCTCATCTATTCATAACTGTCACAGCCAATCCTAACTGGGTGGAGCTAAGAAATCATCCAGATGTTGTTAACTTGAAGAGATGAAATGAAAAAAAAAAACAAGCTTTGAGAGTGAAGATGGTCCATGGTGCAAGAATAGGGTGAGAACTCCAGGGATTGTTTGGAAGAATCTAGGAGTGTGTAGAAGCTTATAGAAAGCTAAGAGAGAGAGTCCAAGATGGGTTCACAAGGCATGGAATAAGGCTGTGGAGGAGTTTGGATGCTAATGGAAAATAATGAAAGGTTAGGCTGATCCGTAAGGACCGTACGGCCTGTACGGCTGGCTGACAGTCTGCTGCACCCAAACCCAAACACCATTGACCACTAAGAACCATCTGAAGTCTAAGTGAAGTCTAGGACAAAAAGGTATGGACATGAGGTCCGTACACTACCTAGATATGGTGACTTGTGTGTCAAGGCACAAAGGAAGCTTATGGTGCAAGGAAATGTCTACAAGACCGAAATGATGCCAGGGTCAAAATCGGTCACGACGAAATCAATGCCTAAAAATTCTCGAGAAATGTTTTATGAAAAAAAACTTAGGAACTTCTCGAAAACACAAAGTCACTAAACACTTCGGAAAAACCTAAGGAAGGTTACGTGTCTCTCGGAAAATGATTTAAACATCCAAAACAAGACATCGGGTCGTGAACACTACTCCACTTTGCTCGTTTGGCAAGATGGATCTATCCACCTCGCCCAATGAGTGAGGTGGATCAATTACCAATCCACATCGCCCGTTGGGTGAAGTGGATCAACAATGAATTTCACTTTGCCCGTTGGGCGAAGTGGATCAATGGATTGAATTATCTCTTGTTTCGTCTCGATCAGAGTTACCGTCAAAATTTTAAGACGAAAATTGTAAGAACAAATTTTCTCTTTCGAGATCCAAAAATATCGTATAAAATGACAACGTTTCACTAAACGCCTTAAGTTGTCTCTCTTATACGAGAAGTTCAGATTTCCTTAAGGGTCGACGTCATTTCGGAAGCGTTCTTTCTAGAAATTATAAAAACTCTCAAATCCAATACGTTCTCAAGAAAAAAATGAGACCAACGGCCACTTATAATTTATCAGAAATCAGGCCCATTTGGTATGATGGTCTTTTTCTTTTGTTTTCGGAAGAAGATAAATGTTAAAATTCAAAAATATAAATGTAAAGTTTTCGAAGATAAACACAAAGATCGGAGGAAAATGGAAAATGCCAGAAGGAATAGACTCGGCTGGCGGAAAAATCGAGAAGAGGCAAACCGCCTCCAAGGGAGTGTATAGGAAATTTGAGGATTAAGATGCAGAAAAAGACTTTTCGAGCACCCAGAGCAATACTTAGAATTTTAGGCAATTCTGAATATTTCCGTTTTTCTGTTTTCGAGCTGCGTCTCGACTAGGTTTTTCAAATCTCGAAGCATAGAACTAGGAAACTTGCCGATGGGTCTAGCTGTTGAGGCTTTACCTGTTGTAAAAAGTTTATACACATTGAAATCAGAATAAGATCTCGTTTGCTCTCTTCCTGTTTAATCTTTCGATTTTTATTTTACTTTTTATTTCGCATGTTCTGATTGTTTGATTGCTCAAATAACAGCTTAAACAGATTATCCGAAGATCTCTTGGAAAGTAGGGTTTACTTTTCTTTCCTAATTCGACGGTGTGAATCTCGGTTCCCATAATTTGGCGCGAAAAGGAGGGGGAACTACGGATCAGTCTTTCTCACGCCTAATCAAGCATGACTTCTAACGATCTCAACAACGAACAACCTCATGACGATGCAAATCACAACAACATTGATAGCACTCCTGTGACTGCCGTCACTCCGTCAAACGTCCCGACAAACGCTGCTACAGTCAGGGAGATAAAGAAACATATCGCCGTTTACGAAAAGCGAGCGGAAGATCAATAAAAACTCATGGGGACTCTCTCGAAACAGGTGGAAACCCTAACTCAGAGAACTTGAAATACTCTTTCCCGCGGCGTCACTAGATCAATAATTAATATTTATATATTAGATCATTCGAAATACTCTTTCCCTGCGGAACGCTCCAAAAACGCACAGAGAAAAATGTCCGAACAAAATTCCTAGGCCAGCATGGAAAAATCCGAGCGACCTTCCACCTTTAGAGGAGGACGTCGAAGATGGAGAAATCAAGCGTGTCGACGTGGACTCCAGCAAACTCGTGTGAAACCTTGGACAAAAACGTGGACGTCCACCCACGACGTACAAGAAGCCGCTTGGCTCGTGAAGATCTGCTCGACAAACCCATGACTGAAGAAGAAGAAACTCTTTACTGGGAGGAGCATGAACAATTAGCCGAGGAGCAAAATAGAAAAACTTGCAGCAATCGCCGAAAAGCTCGGAAAAACGCTAGCGACGACTCCGAGATCCGTGACCCCCGCAATGATCTCCTGAAAACAGCAGCAGTAGTTAAAGTTGTGAAATCTCAAACCCATCACGCAACTAGCTCCGCGTCAGAAATCGATCGCCTGCTCAAAGAAGCCCACAAAACTCCCTTCACTGGCCGAAGAATAAACACTAAGGTGTCGGATCCAGGAAAGATCAAGATACCGATGTACGACAGTACGACCAATCCAAAAGCACACTTGCAAACCTTTGAGATCGCGATGGGAAGGGAAAAATTCAGGGACAGTGCTCAAATGGTTCTCTCGCTTAAAGCAAAACTCTGTCGAAAGTTTCTGCCAACTAGCATCGGAATTTCTCAAACAATATTCAATGTTCATAGATCGTAAAACTTTGGACGTTGACCTCTAGAGTCTATCCCAGAAGGAAGACGAGACTCTCCAGGATTTCATAAAAGAGTTCAAAACCGTCATGGCACGGGTAAGCGGAATCAGCGACAAAGTGGCAATCGACACGCTCCGCAAAGCGCTCTGGTACAAGTCAAAGTTTAGAAAATGGATAACCTTGGAAAAGCCGCGAACGATCCAGAACGCTCCATAAAGCCACCGACTACATCATCATTGAAGAAGAAACGAGGATCCTGTCGCAGAAACATAAGCCGACAAGGACGTTCTCAAAAGATCCGAGTCTCGGTCAAAAGTCTAAAAAAGAAAAGCTCGCGTAGCGACAAAGAGGAAACCCAGGGGGCCCACAATTATTCCATCAACTCTGGATTGGAATCAG